ATTGTTGCATTTTGTCATTTTTATATGTCATTACAATTAAATTTTAATTTTTTTGTTTCGTAAAATTAAAATCTAATTAAACTATAATAATTTTATTGTTATTTTCACAACATTTAAAATTATATATTTTATCCTATTTTTCTAGCCATAAATTTGAAATTTATTAAACATTTAATTTAGTTTATATTATAGTCCAAAATTTTTAAAATATATTTGTATAAAAATTATTCTAAAAGCTATAAACTTTTCAACTTTATTTGGCTTTAAATAATTTTTTTTAAATATTAAATTAATATTTTATATTATTTTTGGAAATTGATATGATTTTCGCCTAAGTAATATATTTGAATTTTAGCCCAATTCTAAATATAAAATAAAATATTTATTATATTTTTTTTTTATTAAAACTAAGAGAATATTGATGTTATAAATTAAATTGAAAATAAATATGTTATAAAATTTATTTCATCAGATAACTAAACAAATTTCATGGCAATTTCTTAGGAAATATGAATTTGGAATGAATTGACTTTGGTCAACAGTTCAAGTCTCCAAGCTTTAGAAATTTATTTTATTTATATATTTTTTTAAAAATTATGCTCGTGGAAATTCGATGGTCCACCGACATCATCATAACTTGATTAATCTATTTTCTTACGAGGCTTCAATTTCTCTATTTCATTTATTAATAATTCCATACTTTTTCAATAAAAAAAATTTAAATTAAAACGACATTGGTCAATAGCACGGAAATTCGAAAGACAACCTACAACGAAATTACAAATACTTCGTTTTATTATGATGTCACTGTACATTCGCCTCATATCACTCGGGATTATCCTCTTAATTAGTTGTCATGGAAAACGTGTGAACTTTTGGATTTGGAAATAGGGTGGAAAGTGATATAGACGTGAAAAAAAAATATTTCTACACGAGCAAATGCGGTTCGAATAAAGACATTATCGAAGTCATTTTCAATGAATTGTTTTTGCTTTAGACCCATTTAAATATTTTGATACAAAACAATGGAAGACGATATATAAACTTTCTCACAATTATTTTAAATAACCTTTCAAATATTTTTAAATTTAGGTCCAACGGTAATACTTTTGTTTTTTTTTTCTCCAAATAAATAAAATCTATTATTTATGCCTTTCTCATTTTTATTATCTAAATTTTAGAATATAACAGAAAAAATTAAAAAGCATAAATTTATTTATTTATTTATTACATAATCGTATTAGGAATTAGTGACGGAAGCATGACGTCACGGTGACAAATAATTGTCTGGCATTTTTTTAATAATTTTTAATTAAAAAAACCCTCAAATTATCCTATTACGAGTCATTGACCGTAGACTAATGCGCAATAGTTGGCAAAAGACATATTTTCATTTCCTAATATACCCTTAAGTCCTTATCTAATTTACAGTTCACGCCATTTTTGGACTGCGGCGGTTCTGTAAAATTAAAATGCAGGGTCATTTAGCGACCCACCAGCTTTAACGAACACGCTGAACCAAAACTCCATACCATCGTTCATGCTAGAGCCATTGTCGTAATAACACCCAAATTCCATTGAATCCATGGCTCTGAACAGCGACTGAACCTGTTCTTCATCATTGAACGCCGACGACTTGAACATTGGCCGAGTCGACGCCTCCTCTGCCCCATGCCCGCCACCTGTTTGATGAAATGCCTCAAAGATTTCAATGCGTTGTTCCTTCTCGATTTCGTTGCAGCCGCCCCACACGGCGGCTGGAGAATCTGTCACCGATGAATGATCGAGGGAAGAACATGGAAATTCGTATTGGTTAGAGGAATTCAGCTTCTGGGGTGGTTTCGATTTGGGTTCAACAATGGCGGAATCGTTGCTCTGTTTCTTCATCGCTCGTTTTTTCAAGTGGGTGTGCCAGAAGTTCTTGATTTCGTTATCTGTTCGTCCCGGTAGCTGCGCCGCGATGGCTGACCACCTGAATGTATCAACCATTAAAATCATCTCAAAATCATTCTGTGCTGATAATTTTAATGACGTTTTTTAGTTGATGTACCTATTCCCGAGCTTTTCATGGAGGTAAAGAATTGTGTTCTGTTCCTCTTGAGTGAAATTTCCTCTCTTAATATCGGGCCTCAAGTAGTTTATCCATCGAAGTCTGCAACTCTTCCCACATCGTAAAAGTCCTAACAAAATCGAAGAAATACACAGAGATCAAAAAAAAAAAAAAAACTGTAACAGCCCAAATTCACAACTAGCTTCATTTTGAACTATAGCCTGCTAGCAAATATTGTTCTATTGTTGTCTTTAGACCCAGAAATGCCCCGAGATCAAAACAAAAGAAATTGTAACCGCCTTTTCCATTTCGAGCTTCCCCTCAAGTCTAGACCGAGAAAATACCCAGAGATCAAAACAAAGAAACTGTGACTGCCCGTTGAGCTTCATCTCAAGCCCACATCTAACAAATATTATCTTATTTGGACTTTACTTTTGGGTTTCCCTTCAAGATTTTCAACAATAACAGTTCTTTCCATTTCGAGCTTCCCCTCAAACCCACGCCTAGCGGATATTATCCTATTTGGACTTTTCTTTTGGGTTTCCCCTCAAGATTTTTAAAACGCGTTTAGGAGAGGATTCTACATCTGCTTCGTTCTCCTCTCCAATCGAGGTAGAATCTCATAATCCACTCACAATTCAATCTTTTGGAGGTTGAAAGCCCTGGCACATCGTCCTTGACTCTAATACCATTTGTAACCGCCCAACTCACCGCTACCAAGTCTACTACAGAGAGGTTTCCACATTCTTATAAAAAATGTTTCGTTTTTCTCTCCAACCGACGTAGGATCTCACAAAAACCAACCATTTGATGATCGAAACTCTCGAAGAACTTACCGGCAAGCTTTGGAAGGGCGCGCCAGTTGGCATGGCCGTGTTTTTGGATGAAAGAGATCAAAATTTGATCTTCTTCAGCTGCCCATGGCCCCTTTTTCAGTCCTGTTTTCTGGCAGCAAGGAGCTCTCACCATTGTTCTTCAATGCCACTATGTTTTCTTGCGTATATCAGCTCGTGAGGGACTTATATATATATATATATATATATGAATTTGATAATATTTCCAAAAGGAAAAAGTCTCGTGAGTTTGAATATTCCAACTGGGAAAAAAGAAAGCAAAGCCTGTTGTAAATATTTTAATTATATTTTATAATATCTGTGGAAATTTCAAGGAACAAGAAAGAGCAATTATATGAGAAAAAATGAACCCTCCTTTAATAACAATAATATTATTAAATATAAAGGGGAAAATTTTATAAAATAATAATAATAATAATAATAATTTGTGACCAGTAAAACATCATATAAGTTCGTTAAAAATCATATGGTTAAATTATATACAATATGTGACCAAAGTTCTGAGTCAATTTTAATTGAGAAATTATGCATTTTAAACTTTAGTAGGTAAATTTAATAAAATAAAATAAAAAAACATCGTGGGATTTTTATTTTTTATTTTTTTATTTTTACGACACGAGATAAAATGAGGTGACTTTGAAAGTTAGAAAATTGACCTAGGTTTAAATAATTAGATTAAAGTTTTTAGGTGTGAACGTTACTTTTTTTAATTTTAGAAATATTTTTGTGAAGACCAGTTATCACGGGTAGATATTGTCTGTTTTGCCTATTACATATCACCGTTAGCCTCAATAATTTAAAACCTCTTTCCAACTAATGTGGGATCTCACAATCTACCTTCCTTGGAGGCCAGCATTCTCACTGACACACCGCCTCGTCTCCAATCAACGTGGGATATCACAATCTATCCTCCTTGAAGTCCAACGTCATTGTTGGCACACCACCCTCACTTGGCTCTGATGTCATTTATAACAACTCAAGCTCACCACCAGCAGATATTGTTCACTTTAGCCTGTTACGTATCACCGTCAACTTCACGATTTAAAAACGAGTATGTTATGGAGAGATTTTCACACTTTTATAAAAAAAAAAAGTTTTGTTCCCTCCCTAACTAAGGTGGTATCTCACAATTTTTACGTTAGAATTATTCATTAAAAAAACATTATTTTTGGACTTTCTATAATTTAATATATTAAATATTTGCTTACAAACAATATTATTATAAAAAATAGAATATATAATTTTTTTTTAAGAAGAGCTAGAAAATCTATTGTTTTGACTAAACAAAAAAATATAATATATTGCATGAAATAATCAAAGCTAATTGAATCTGCGCGTTGAATTACGTAGTGAGCTCTTCAATTAATTAAATATTGGTGAAAACTTTATATTATAAATATATTTTAATTACTTTATATTATAAAGATAAAACTCTAAATTAATAAATTTATTAATTAAAATTTGAAGTAATTTAAAATGAATTAGGCAAATAAATTGACATTAATATAGTTCAAATTAATAAATCCAAGGTCAAAACCGAGTACTTTTACCATTTATATGTTCACACCAGCAAGATTAATTAATTAATTTATTTTGATATATACATTGTCTTATCTTAATTTTTTATTCTAAAAACTTCAACTACATTTTTATAAATAATCTAAAATATAAATTATTGCACCCATTACAGATAACGACAAGCTTTAAAATAACTTTTAATTTATATTCCAAAATTTAACCAGTCAAATTATACCAAGTGATCCATAATTTAATATTTATTAGGTATTAAATAAAAAAAATTAATTTTAATATGAGTAAATTTGGAATAAGAGGAATAACTCCAAGGAAGTTGCCAAACTAACATTATCCTTATTATTGATTAAAATTTTAAATTATTTTATGATTAATTAATAGTTTATATTTGTTAGTTGATGTATACTTTATATTGATTGTAATTTAATTAAAAAATAATAATATTTGATGATATAGTTTTTCATATATAATGCAATTTCTATTGTTTTTAGTTTTTAATTTATATATATTTTTTTAATTTTTTCTGGTTTTTTTTTTGAGGTTTTAAAATTATGTACATTTGGAAAATATTGGGCCTTCGAGTTCTTACTTCAGTCTTGAATCTCCAGTTTCTATGAAGTAGAGAATTTTGAAACAAGGAAAAACAGGGGTAAGATTCCACATGCTTGATGCTTATATCAATGTATGAATTGTTCTTCTGGATTCAAGTTTGTTTAGCTTATCTAGTTTGATTGTTGATTGTTGATTGGAATAATTTCTGTGGCTGTTCGATATGTTTTAAGTAACTAGGTAGGATTTCTTTCTTTGATTATTTAATCTCCATTTTGCGAGCATTTCGCGATCTCGGCTTAGGATCATCGTTCGATTTACAGTTCTAATAGGAAAGCTGGATCAATGACGAATAAGTTGAATATAGTAAATCGCACATTCTACTTGAATATATTATTGCAATCTCCTCTTTAGTGCATTATTATTGGAGTCGCGTAATGAACAATGATTTTGATCTTGTTGTTTATCTTCTGTTGCCGGAAGAACATTCAGCCAGAAAAGGAAAACGTTCAAAGAAATAAATGAAAATGAAAATTACTGTAGGTTACATTAATTTGGGATGTAGGAGATACAATGAGATACTCAACTCTTAAGACTGGACCAGAAAGCACAGTGCTCTTAATGTTTCATTTTCCCTATATTTTAAAGATTAGGAGTTTGTTCTTTATGGACTGTGATTCGAGATCTGGAGACAAATTTTAATCTGGTAGTTAATCAGTGGCTGACAGAGCCGCAGCTACAATCTGTGGAAGGTTAATAGTTTATGACATTTGGCTAAAAATCAGAGTAATGCTTCATCTGAAATTGGTGTTGCTGAGTATAGCAAAAGCATATACCTGGAACTTCAGCGAAAGATGGTTCACCGATATGTGAATTTTAAGATTGATGAAAAGAAAAAAGCCCAGATGGGATTTTCGATGATTTCACTTCTTCATTGCCTGAGAGTGATTGTAGATCTGCAGTTCATGATTATCACTGCCTGGTTTATTTTCATTCGTTCAAACAGTTTTTTCCTTGTTAGTACAGTAATTTGATTTGTAGTTTAGCAGTTTCAACCTCTTACTATTTGATTAAACGAGTTCAGTTCCTTATGTTTGATTCTGCTTTAGTTTAATGTTCAACTATTTCATTAAATAGCAAGCATCTTTCTTTATGTGTTGAATCTCAGGTGTTATTTCTAGCTTAGCTAGCATGAATCGAAAACATGGAGCTGTAACATTTCTTATGTGTTTGGTTGACTTTCTTTCTGATGTTGTTTCATGAAATTGTGTACAATCAAACTTTATCTATGCCATTGTTTCTTTAACAAGAGGGATTTGAGAACTTTATACAGAGGGTTGTTTTATACCTATCTGAGATTAGTATTAGTTTGTTATCAATTTGCTTCACTTGATTTGTCCGGTTGATGTTATAGCTCTATCAGTTGTTTCAGTTCACGTCATCTGCTTTGTTGTAGTACCCAACATCTATATCATGGCCGTGATTGTCTGAAGTTTTCACACTTGATTTCTTCTATTTTCTGAACACTAGCAAGCATATTGAATGTTTTATAATGTCATTCTAGTTTTGCAGGCAAAGGAAATGAAGTAAGGTATGCAACTGTCTAAAATAATCTCGCTCAAGATGATTAATTGAGCGTAAAGCTCTCTTGAAGAACTCGTAGGAAACATTTATTTGATGTTTACAGAAAATAGAGGACGAGTACAACTAACGAAAATGAAATTAAAAAATTACCCTACTATTCCCTACATCAGTGATCTACTTCAGTTCTTATGACTTGTTATAGTTAACACTTTTTGCAGGTCTCCATCGAAAGGGAGTCCCACATTGGCTAATTAAGGATATAATCATGGGTTTATAAATAAGAAATACATCTCTATTAGTATGAGGCTTTTTGGGAAACCAAAAGTAAAGGGTATTATGGAGGATCGTGATTCCTAACATCCATTACGAGATCCAGACAACTGACCCAACTGAGAAGGATCTTGAAGTCCTTAGAGACCATGCAATCTGATTCTAAGCATTACACTCTGATTTGTACGAATTTCCCATAAGGAATTCTTAGAGGTCTATTCTACTGCATAATGACTGTGCCTTGTTAACTAAAAATATTTCTGTATATTTGATTAGGGGCTCGTGACTTTGATAACCACTGCAGCAGCAGGAGGGTAACTTGAGCTTCCTCACTGTCGTTATGCTTCTAAGGTGATGTTGTAAACTTGACTTAAACTACTTGCTCAATCTATAATATGACCAACTAGATCTTCTGTTTATATTTCTCGCTCTTTTCTATTTAGTCAATCGGTTCTAATACCTAAAGTCTCCAGCTGAATTTCTAGACACAATTGTTCAGTACAAGTGGTAAAGAATTTAGAACATTTTACTGCTCCGTGTGAAAGGACTTCCTTAATTTCTGTTTGCATAAAAATAGTTAGAAACCACGAATCTCTATGATGGTATGATATTGTCCACTTTGAATATAAACTCTGATTTTGGTTTTTCCAAAAATCATCGTACCAATGAAGATAGTGTTCCTTACTTATAAACTCATGATCTTCCTCTTAACGAGCGAATGTGAAACTACTCTTTTCAATGACATAAATCTCACAAAGTCAACAAACCTTATCCAATCAATAGAATGCAACCACACTACAAGGTCCATCTTTTTTCGGTTACGATGAGCAGGGGTCCACAAACTTGCTCAATCGTTTGAAATGATGAGGGTGGATGTGATATCGTTACTATTGGATTCTCGAGTAGTTCTCACTTCTCCTTATAGATTAGAGATGAAAGAAAAATTAGAAATGACCTGATACATTAAATTGATAACAGGAAAGGCAAAGGACGGATAAGAAATCCACGATAATAAGGGAGGCTTTTGGAGGAAAGGAGAACAACCAACCACTTATCGATGAGGGCCTTATCAAAAATAGATTATGAATCTGATAGCAACACCATAAGTTTTCTGATACCTGACTGTGAAGCAAGAAAAGGCAAAAATCTGTCAAATGGTCCCATGAAGAAAAGAAAGCAAGAAAACCCCAAAAAATACAACCAAACAGCTTCCCATTTTCCATAGATATCAGTTTCGAGTAAGTTAATGGGTTTGTCTTGTATCTTACCATCTCCCACTAGTTATCAGTGTGTCAAATAAGAAGCATTACCTCAGAATTTAAGCTACCCTTTTGGTTTCTCCAAAAGCCAATTCAAACACAAGCCTCTCGCAGAAAATCAGGTGGACCCATAAGATTTTTGTTGTGGGTTGTATCTTATTCCAGGCAATAGGGAGAAAATGAAGGGAAAATCCTGGAGAGGAACGCTGTATTGCGGCTGAAATGCTGTCAGGTAAGTTTCCTAAACACTTTGTTATACAATATGCAATAAATGTGAAGGAAATACGTACCATTGGGTACCTTAAATCTTGTACAGGTCGCACCAGAATGACATAAATGGAGTGATTTTCAGGGAAGTTAGAATACTCCACCCCATTTGACCCGACTCTGGGTCCCATTCTGAGAAGTCTCGGCTTATTATATGCCCTCTAGACTTCAAGGGGTCAGAACAAATCATTTAATTCAAATTTAGGTGATTGTTTTATTTGGGGTTTTAAATTTCTTTGAAAGTTGGTATTTTCTTTTAAAAATCCAAACCTAATAGTTTAAATTGTAAATTTTGGATTGGATTAATCCAAAGGTTTAAGTTAATTTTTTGGATTGATTCGAGTGGGGGCTTGTTTATTCAAATTTTTTTGTTTTTAATAAAATTAAAATTTTAGTTCGTAATATATATATATTTTTTATTTATTTTTAAACCTTTGATTGAGATTTATCATTTAATTTCAATATATATTTAAAAAATTACTTTTCAAATAGTTAAAAATGAACCTCTATAAATACTTAAAAAATATTAAGAAATTAAATAAAAATAAAAAACTTATATATATGATTCTATCGCAAGTAAAAATGTATTTTTTTTAATTAATAATAAATTCTATTTTTTAAAAATTAATAATAAATTCTGGTTGATTTAGTTAATCTAATTTATAAATTTTATTTATTTATTTGAATCTAACCCAATCCAAATAATTTCATAACTCAACCTAATTTTTTATTACTCATTCTTCCAAATTTTCAATCGTTAGTTTATGAGAAAAAAATTCAAATTCATTTAATAAATATATTAATTATCATTGTAAAAATATGACGTAATTAAAATTTAAAAATATATATATATTTATAGGTTGGAAATACTTATTAAATGAGTTAATAATGTTCCAAATTGTAAATTGAAATTTTGTAACGGGCTTCCGGAAAGAGAGGAACACGTTGATGATGTAACGCTGTAACCACCTGCCATGAGCAACACGCGTCCGCGTCACTGCATGAAAATGTAGTTTTCTCCGTCTTTCCCAAACGACAACGTTTTGAATAGTAAGTTGAAAACTACATGTCGTCCCAAATCAGTGGGACCCACCATTATGTAATCCAATCACGCCACTTTCTGTAGATACTTGAAGAAATTCATGAATTTTCGTACCTTTACTCCGTAGGATATTTTTGTATTAAATTAATTTAATTACGTGTTAATACCTATATTTTTGCTACAGCAAATACAAATTATTATTTAATAATTTCTTTAAATTTAAATTTTATTTCTAGTGTAATAATTCCTTGTACACTTTTAAATATTTTTAATTTTTAAATAATTCATTCTTTTTTTGGACAAATTTCCCGTAAAGCCAGGCCAAGGCGACAGAAACGGAGGGGGTATTATCGTAATTTAAAGCAATCAGAGGCCTGTTTCTTTTTGAACGGCTGTTAGTAATAGTATCTACGAGTAGGCTTCTGTGATTGCATACGTGGCGTTATCTCATTGGGTCACGACGAAACCGAATATTCCGCCGAGTATTCGAAAAATACAGTTGAATTCCTTTTTCACCTCAGGTATTACTTCTGTCCGATAAATACCGAAAACTAAACCGCTCCCCAATTAGATTCATTATATTTTTTACAGCGAAAACGAAAACTAGAGTGATGAGCGACGCGTTGAGGAGAGACTATCAAGTGAACGAAGAGATCGGCCGGGGAAGATTCGGCACTGTTTTTCGATGTATTTCCAGAGCCTTTGGTGGATTTTATGCTGTTAAATCCATGGACAAGAGGCGAATCTCCGCCGGTGATTCACTCGACGCTGAATGCCTTGTGAACGAGACGAAGATTCTTCATCTCCTTTATCCTCATCCTCACATTCTTGCTTTGCATCATCTCTACGAAGATGAATTTCACCTCCATATCGTTCTCGATCTCTGTTCTTCCGATCTCCTTCGGCGAATTAATTTCCAGGTTTTTTCTGAGGCGGAGGCTGCTTTGGTTATGTCGCAACTGATGAGTGCGTTGGCTCATTGTCACCGTCACGGCGTTGCGCACCGTGATATTAAGCCGGATAACATTCTGTTCGACGAGTGGAATTCGTTGAAACTCGCGGATTTCGGATCGGTTGAGATGTTTAAGCTGGGAGAAGAATCGATGAGCGGAGTCGTCGGAACTCCGTACTACGTGGCGCCGGAAGTGCTGGCTGGAAAAAACTACGGCGAGAAGGTCGATGTGTGGAGCGCCGGCGTGGTTTTGTACGTTATGTTGGCTGGTTTTCCGCCGTTTCAGGGAGAATCGGTTGTTGAGATCTTTCATGCGGTGTTGCGATCGAATTTGAGATTTCCGCCTAGAGTTTTCCACTCTGTATCGCCCATGGCGAAAGACTTGCTTCGAAAAATGCTCTGTAAAGATGTTTCCAGGAGACTCTCCGCCGAACAAGTCCTCAGTAAGTATCTAATTAACGCTTTCAATTGCTCAATGTTTCTCTGAAATTCACGCTTAATTTTTTCTTTCCGGTGTCTGTAATCGTTCTCTGTGGAAGATAGCAAGATCCTCATTCTTCATTTCGAAAAATTAAACTCTCTTACAGAAACACATTGGCCTTATTGTGCCCTAAAACTGAAATTAATCTCGTCCATATATCAGTGTATTCAATTCCAACACATTATATACAAATCCACGGCTTAGTTTTATTTTAATCAACAGTATTCTTGCTCTTCGTTGTTGTAATTTTTTTATTGGTCTGGTGGAATCAGGGCATCCATGGATAACAGCTGGGGGGGAAACAGGCCGGCAAATGAACTAGACTGAAGTTTTGAGCAGAGTCGGTACTTTTTTTTTGTTTTGTTTTTACTTTGTTTTTGTGTTTTTGGCGCGCGCACTGTAAATATGGCGGAGCTGCATTCGATCGATGATGCCACACAGTTAGTAGTGTGAAAGAATTTGTATAACCTCTGAAACCTCTCTGTAAATAACGATAAATAATATATACTTCGCTTTTTTTTTTCTTTTTTTTAGTTAGGTTATAAAATATTTCTTTTTTTAATTTCCAAAATTTAATTGAAAATTAATTTTTTTTTAAAAACATAAACTCAAATAATATAATATATATATATATATTAATGCATATTAACAGTTGGTGGGAACTGAGGCCATAAAATTAATTGATTTATTACGATGGTTTATTCATCGCAATTACTATTTTTAATGCCTTTTATGTCTTCATAATTATACCCAACATAAAATTCAACCTTTTAACCTTTTTTAAAACAACTATTTTTTTACCTACTAATTTATTATTATTGTTATATATATATATAATTAAATATGTAAATTATGATTATTTGAAGCTATCAACGACTCCTGTCTTATTGTCTTTATTAAATCTCGGGATCTATAAAGATCCCTTGTTCTTTTCAGAACAACGTCTCGGGATCCATGAAGATCCTATCCTTTGTTCTTTTCAGAACAACGTCTCGGGATCCATGAAGATCCTATCCCTTGTTCTTTTCAGAACAACGTCTCGGAATCCATGAAGATCCTATCCCTTGTTCTTTTCAGAACAACGTCTCGGAATCCATGAAGATCCTATCCCTTGTTCTTTTCAGAACAACGTCTCGGAATCCATGAAGATCCTATCCCTTGTTCTTTTCAGAACAACGTCTCGGAATCCATGAAGATCCTATCCCTTGTTCTTTTCAGAACAACGTCTCGGAATCCATGAAGATCCTATCCCTTGTTCTTTTCAGAACAATGTCTCGGAATCCATGAAGATCCTATCCCTTGTTCTTTTCAGAACAATGTCTCGGAATCCATGAAGATCCTATCCCTTGTTCTTTTCAGAACAACGTCTCGGAATCCATGAAGATCCTATCCCTTGTTCTTTTCAGAACAACGTCTCGGAATCCATGAAGATCCTATCCCTTGTTCTTTTCAGAACAACGTCTCGGAATCCATGAAGATCCTATCCCTTGTTCTTTTCAGAACAACGTCTCGGAATCCATGAAGATCCTATCCCTTGTTCTTTTCAGAACAACGTCTCGGAATCCATGAAGATCCTATCCCTTGTTCTTTTCAGAACAACGTCTCGGAATCCATGAAGATCCTATCCCTTGTTCTTTTCAGAACAATGTCTCGGAATTCATGAAGATCGTATCCCTTGTTCTTTTCAGAACAATGTCTCGGAATCCATGAAGATCCTATCCCTTGTTCTTTTCAGAACAACGTCTCGAAATCCATGAAGATCCTATCCCTTGTTCCATTGGTATGAATCCCATTTGAGAGATTATGATCGAAGTAAATAATATGATACCATTGGGTGGAAATGGATGAATAAGCCCATTTGAGAATACAACAAGAAAGCTCCTGATAAGCCCAATGTCCATTGTGTATGGCGAAGAAAGCGATAAACGAATACGAATCTCTGTTATTTCTTCAACAACCCACCCAATAAGTAGATCACCCAGTAAGTAGATCACCCAATAACCTTAGGATTTCGCTTTACACAATACGTATAACATCTAAAAACAGAGTTTCACACACAAAACCCCAACACTCCCAACGCTCAAACAGGCATAGTTCTACGAGACTCAGCCCTCGCCTCTGTTTCCCTTTCAACCTCTTCTCCCGCTTCCCCCGACATCTCTTCCAAAGACTTCCCCTTCGATTCAGGAACCAACAATGTAAACAACGCCCCCAGAGCATTCACCACCCCCAGAATTATCAACGTCTTCTTTACCCCAAACGCCTTCTCCACCGCCTGGAACCCAAACGCCCCGATGATCGCCCCTGCTTTTCCCGACGCCGCTGATATTCCATGGCACGTTGATCGAAGCCTCGCTGGGAAAATCTCCGCCGGAACCACGAATGTCGTCGCGTTTGGCCCGAAATTCGCGAAGAAAAACGTGAGAGAATACATCACTACGAACCCAATTCTGTGGTCTGGTAGAGTCCAGTGGTTGTAAGGAATTGCCAATGCGAACATGAACACCGTCATGAAGAAAAACCCCATTAATTGAATTGCAAATCGACCCATTACGTCGATTAATGCCACTGTGAACCAATACCCGGGAACTGTGCTGCATAATGCTATGAGCGTCTGTGCTCTGGCGATTTTGAAAACTTCTTCAATGGCGTTCATTGTTTTCGCCGGAGGAAGCCATCCAATGGCGGTGAAGATGTCCTTTTGGAATAGATTTTGACTGTAGAATGCAATGTCCAATAAGAACCAGGTGGAGGTGGTTCCGAGCAAATGAAGGCCGTGCCGGCGAAGAAAGCTTTTTGAGAACAACCCAAATTCGTTTTTCGATTTGCCTTCCTCGATTTTGTCCTGTTCGGATTCTAATTCGACCTGCAGCACTTTGGACATGTCCGCCGCCGCCTGTTTGGCGTTTTTAGCCACCAAGGCGGTGTAACGGGCAGTTTCCGGCATTTTCATTCGCCAGTAATACGTGAGGAGAGCTGGGAAAGCTCCAAAAATTACAATGATTCGCCATACGTAATCCGCTTGTGGGATGGTGGAGGCGTTGGGATTTTCCTGGTACGACGGCGCTGGGTATTTGGCGTCGAAAGCGGCGGAGACAATTATAGCCACCACTCCACCAGCCAAAATCCCAAACCCCTGCATCGCAAACACGGCGGCGATGAATGCCCCCCTTGTTCTTTTATTGGCGTATTCCGACATGATTGTGGCGGAAAGTGGGTAATCGCCGCCGATTCCAAACCCGAGCCAGAATCGGAAGAAACAGAGAGTGGCAACCACCGACGTCGGCGAGCTGCTGAAAGACAAACCGGAAGCAACAGAGCAAATAACCATAAGCATAAGGGTCATGCCGTAGACTCGTTTCCGACCCATTTTGTCACCGAGCCAGCCGAAGAAGAGCTGACCGGAGAGGGTACCGCAGAAGGCAACGCCGTTAACGGCGGCGGCGACATTGCCAGGCAATTCACCAGGCTTGTCAGAGCCCTGTTTATGATAATAAATCCGACCCAGCAATTTGGTGACAAGAGATACGCAGAAGAGATCATAGGCGTCGGTGAAAAAGCCCATTCCGGCGATCACAATGGCCGTGAAATGGTACCATTGCGTCTTGGCTACATCCAACGCGTCCAACACTTTCAGTGGCTCTCCGGCCATGCTTCCAACTGGTTCAAAGCATAAAAAAAATGACTTTTTTCCCCAAATTTATAAAATTAAACAAAATCTTAAGCTACATGACATCAAAAAAAAAAAAAAGACCAAATTAAATCTGCTCTAGCGTCGATTTGAACTAGCCCAATAAAATTCATTTATATAATATACAAATATATATTATTTTTCGACTATTTTCATAAATTTAATTTTATAGAAATATGAATAATTTTATACTATATATCTAAAAAAATATATTATTCGTAGCTCAATCAAATTCATTTATATTATCACGAAAGAATGAAAGGTTGAGAGATAGTATACGATACCTAGAGTGGAATCGCAGTCTCTGAGTTTTCGCCGGAAGATGTGGCGGCGGCGGCGGAGGAGGAGGAAGGAGGAGAAGGACGGAGAGAAATGGGGGATGGATGAGGGGTATTTAAGAGGGGGGAACAGCGTCCAAGTCACGTGCATGGAATCTTCTCCAGCGAATATTCCATAGTTTCTACCACTTTTTCTCGCCTTCTTTGCTATTTTGCGCTTTTTCACACTACGCTTCTCAACTGTTTCTTGTTTTTTTATTTTGTTTTTTTTTTCTTATTATGAAATTTCTTCATTTATTTTATTTTTTTGTGTTTAATTTTTTTAAAAGTAAAATAAATATTATAATTCAACTATCCACTTTTTAACTTTATTACAAAAATAAAAAGAACTATTCTATAATTTATGCGCATCAAATTTAGTTTCGTGTAATTTCATCAAAATAAAAATTTTACGATATTTTCACATTACTTTTTCTTAAAATTAATAGACGAATTTAATAAAAATAATTATAACTATTTTAGTTTCAATATTAGTTGAGAAAATGATGTGACGTTTGAGAAGTGACAAATTTTAGCATTTATTTAATTATTTTTATAAAATTCATAATTCATTCTAAACCCGTGCATATAATTCAAACAAGATACACTGTATTTTAACTCATAGATTCAAAATTAATTAAAGTTTATTTGGTAAGAAAAGTAAATAAATAAAGTAATTTCGTCATTCACTGAGATTATATGGCCAATATGAGGTTTTTGAGATGATCTCACCATTCCTAGTGGTGGAGACGTTTCATCGATTTAAGGTAAGTGGTGTTCCCCGTTCTTCAATAGGATTGGTTCACGGAATTTCTTTCCTTTTATTGCATCTCATTCGAATGGTTTATATGGGACGTTTGAACAATTTAAATTCTTTGGTCTATCAAAAAGACGCGTATATATATAGTAAATGTCTATAGGATTGACACAAATAGACGGTTCCCTACATTAATTAAGACATAATTATTATTGAGAAAAAAAAAGTGGACCACGAAGAACGAAGACTTGATTGACTTATCTTTATAATTTGTTAGTCCAATTGATGTGGACGTTTTTAAATTTAATTAATGCATAAGAGATTGTTTTTCTTCAATTTACATTTAATTATGGAAATAACTAAGGATAAAATTTAAAGCAGAAAATATCTTAAATTCAAATCTATTGTAAAACTAAACTTAATAAATAATTTTTTTTATACAAGAAATGGTTTTCTATTTAATTAAATAAATTAATTGCATGTGCGTTGAAACTGGATAAGGTTATCAACGTCACAACTTGACTTCTTTTTTTTTTAATAATAATTAATTCAAATTAGTACTTTATTTTTAACATAAATTTAAATTATTAGTTAATTCGATGAATCATCCCTTAGTAAACCCCATGATATTTAATTAATAATTATTATTATATTCATGGAATAAAAATTAAAAAATTAAATATTTATAAACTCAAATAATTGATTCTTATAATTTGAAGTTGTATAAAGAAATGGTGCAAATTCAAACTTCTCAACTATGACGTTATGAGTAAAATATTTCGTAAATAAATAAAATATTATAGAGCGAGAATATATAATAATGTTTATTATCAAATAAAAAACGTTTTTCTTTGGAATATAACCAATATTATTTTAAAAGGGTATTTCATAGTTTTTAAGTTGAACTCATATTTGCGTGGTAACCATGGAAGTTTGAGCATTTTCAAACAACTTGGCGTATATTTTGGATCATCTATAACCATGACATCTTTCGTCGTCTTTTGTCCATAAACAACGATTTTTGAATTGATAACCGATAAAATGCGTGTTGAAAGTACTATGATTGACTACAATAGCTGAATAGTCCTAGTTTGTGTGGTGGTAGTAGAAGCCGGTAGAATCAGGTGGTCGTAAAAATAGTCAGTGGTGGTGTACAGCGACACGACAGTCACCGATAAATACCCTTTTAGAATATTATTGAAGCTTTTGAAAATTCACGGGCATCTTTAGCATAATATTTTATTAATTTAGAAGGAAATGATGAAATAAAAGTCAAAGAGTGGAAAATGGAGTTGCCAGCTGTTAGGGTGTTTTACAAACTTTTCATCCCCATCTCGATCCTCTTAATGGGCATTTAATAGTCAATGTCTTTAAAAGTCTACTCTTCTGTTGTCACTTTTTTTAATTTGAAAAAACACCATTTAATAAAAATAATAATTATTTAATATATAAAGGAGTACACACCCAAACAAAAAGGGTTTTATTTTATTTTATTTTCTTACTAAAATACAAAATAATAATAATAATAATACTAAAAGTACTTCCACGCTATACCCTTATATTATATAATTTAATCATATTATATAATTTAATACTATAGTTGTGTAATAATCAGGTTACACTTTTTTGTCTTTTTCTCTACATGCTAACAACGAAGTGTTCGTTGTTTGTTGTTTATAAATATATTTGTATTAATCAATATATGTGTAAGGACATTAAATTTTAATAATATATTTTTTTGTAATAAAGATTGAATATAACTTTATGACTAGAAGTTTTTTTTTTTTTCAAAGCTATTTTTCTGATATTTTTGCTTTTAACTTTTACACCGATTTAAAAGAAAAAAAACAAGAAGGAACTTTTGAGAAAGTTGTCCCCGGGAAGAAATTAGGCGTGTGCATGGGTCGGGTTGAGGAAATTTTTCAGACCAGCTCAAAAGTTCGGGTTGGTTGGATGAGTAACCTAACCCAACCCGAAATCGATTCACAACCCAACCCTCTATTTTTGGGTTGGATTCGAGTTGTTCGAAAAAAGAACTTCAATGTTGAAGCAGTTGGCTAGGAGACGACAAATGTTGCTGAACCGAGACGAGAATTCAAGAACTAAATACCGACTCCAAGGGTGAAATTGAGGCGAGATGAGACCGAAGGTAACGGGTAGTTTAACCTTCTGCTCTAAGCTCTCAAATCCGAGGCGATTTGGCATCGCGTGGGAACTAAAGATCCACTTGTAAGAACACCAGAGGAACAATTGATTCAAGATCCCAAATAAGGAAGAAGTTTGATGGGTAGATGATATGAGAAGAAAAACTAAGACTAATACCCAAAAACAAAGGAAAAGATGGTTCCTTTGAGAAAATTAGCTGAAACAAACTTTGGGAGCTACTACAATTATCCAAGAAATATATATATATATATATATATATATATATATATATATATATATGTCATCTTCATGTTGGGCCAAGCTGACTCAAGAACTATCGTGAGATTCATGAACATGCTCAGGAAAACAATTATTTTGTTCTCTAAAGATGAGTGTCAATGAGCACAAAACATAATGTTTGTTACATCGAGGAAGAAACCTGTATCAGATGACGCAGTTTGGTAAGAACATGGTACGAGTTTCATCCGATTCCTCCCAGAAACGACTGCAAAGACAAATATTAAACCCTTTTTTAAGCTTCATGACATGATTTTCGAATAATTTAGTTCGGAGTGAACTTACCTTGACTTTAGTTGAACTGCCCTACCGTCCCAACGACATGCTGCCGAAGCCAAACCTCGCCTTCTTATCAGCTGGTTTTAGTATTTGGAACGAACACATTAAGTTTTCATCCACGTGCATCATTGCACCAGCATTATCGAACTCTCCACAGTAATTTGGAGCAGAAAATAGTGTTACAAGTTTTCGATTTGCAAAAAACTCGTACCCGTCCTCCACGACCTGCATATTGAAATAGTAAGTTTTCAGTGTGAGTGTCTGCATTATGTAGGTCCATGATGTTATCAGAGATATGATCCCACCTGGTGAGCTCTACAAATCAAATCAAGATCATGCTTTCGAAGAAACTCTGTAACTCGATCCACTCCGAATGTGTAAGAAACCCCTCGTTCATTCGGTCCCCAGCCTCGTGTTTCTTGACTTGGATCAGACCAGAGAAGATCACAAACTAACCCGTTGTCGGGAACATCAGTAGGCCGCTTTAAGTTCCTAATCTGATCCAACTTGTCAAGATGAGGAGACAGTCCACCATGCATACAGAGTATCCTTTCATCAATCAGAGCAGACATAGGCAAGCAATTGAAACAGTCTGTGAATATCTTCCAGAGTTTGACGTTGAATCTCCGTTTACATTCGTCGTAAAAACCGTAGATACGGTTGACCGATGCACATTCATGGTTGCCCCTCAAAAGAAAGAAGTTTTCAGGATATTTTATTTTATATGCAAGGAGAAGGCACATGGTTTCTAAGCTCTGCTTTCCACGATCTACATAGTCCCCCAAGAACAAGTAGTTCGAATGAGGAGGTAATCCACCATATTCAAGAAGCCTTAGAAGATCAGTATACTGACCATGGATGTCTCCTGAATGCCATTGAAAACTAAATTTCAGTCATACATACAGAACAAACAGCTCAAAACAACTAAATATTGAATTGAAAAACACTCCCACCATAACTGAGTAATTTCTTGTGTCCTGAGTCTACCCATCTGACTAGAACTTCAGTGATACAATTTTTAATGTTAGGAATCACGGACCTCCACAGTGGTATGATATGTCCACCTTGAGCATAAACTCTCATAGCTTGGCTTTTGGTTTCCCAAAAGGCTTCATACCAATACCAATGGAGATGTATTCCTTACTTATAAACCTATAGAGCCTCCCCTGAAGCCTATGGAGCTTTTGATCAACCTCCCCTTAATCGAGGCTCGACTCCTTTCTCTAGAGTCTTCAAACAAAGTATACCATTTGTTCAACACTTGAATCACTTTTGACTGCACCTTCGAGGCTAGCAACTTCATTGTTTCGACACTTAAGGATTCGATTAGCATGACTAAGTTAAGGGCATGGCTCTGAAACCATGTTGGGAATCACAAACCTCCACAATGGTATGATATTGTCCACTTAGAGAATAAGCTCTCATCGCTTAGCTCTTGCTTTCATTTTAATCAAACAAGGAAGAGCATTCCTTCCTTTTCAACATGAAGCAACCAACTAAACTACTTATCTTCAATAAGCTCAGTCTCAAATGGTTAAGCAAGTCAATCCCAGATTCAAATCAACTTAAATCGATGAATAAAACTATGTTGTAGCACTTGAGAGCTATACAACAAGTAATGGGCATGTTCGATCAGAGTTCCCAATCGAAATATACTTTTCAAACAGTCATAGTACAGCCGTAAGCAGTCTACTCTAATCCCAACAACAAAACCCAAACAAATCAATAGAGAAAGGGAAAAGGAGAAACCGCAGATATAGACAGGAGCTTCAATTTCCAAAAGATTTGGTTGCCTTAAGAAGATATTCCTGGAGACCATGCATAACTGAGTAATTTCCGTCTCAGAAAGCGGCGCCTGCTTCCCCGATTTGCTCCCGGTTTCAAGCAACCTGCTAATTATTCTATTAAGGGTAGCAGATTCCATCCTATGGTGTGGTTCCTCCTTCGATTCAAGAAAAAAACAAACAATCTTTCATGACGAACAAGATAGCAGTAGTAAAAGGAAAAGGAAAAGGCAGAAAGAATAAAGGCAACGTACTTCTTCAATCTTCTGTTTCTGGTTCCGCTCCTTGTCTGATTTGAAAAACTAGCATGACGAGAATTGAAATTGCGAGAGAGATTCAGGGTTTTTGAAAACGGAAGGAAAAAGAAAACGAACTACGGCTTTATGTTTCTTTTTCCTTTTGCCCATTTGATTTCTCACTTGGAGAGATGAAAAGAATGGTGGCAGATCGATGAGGAAAAAGGAAGAATATATTCGATTGGAAGAAGATTGAGTGGAATTCGGAGCAAACCCTAATGCAGAAAAAGGAATTAAAGAACGAAGGGTAATGAAGAAGCTTTGTAAAGTGGGGTTCTGAGTTGGTACACGCGGACCCCATACACCATACAACTTCTGAACCACTCTTCCACCGCCGATCATGACGACGGTGGCGCGTTTCCATTTTCTGCACGCAGCGTCGTACACGGCTGCCGGGAAAATGATCATGAGTCATGACGACAGTCAAGCACTCCCTCTAAGCCATTATAATAAAATTCGTTTTCATAATAATCAGCCCAGAGTGTTTGGGCCTTGGCCCATAATAATATGGGCCGAAACGTAGTTTGGTCCCATTTGGATAATGATTTTTATTCAAATTAAGCAAAAACTAAAATTAAAAAAATAATAATAAAATTAATATTTTTTTAAAATGTGTTGAATAAAAGTGGAAAATAAGGCGCATGATAAATATGAAATAAATCCCAAGTGGAATAATAAATGATAAAAATATAAGAAGAGTTTGACTTTGACCCTTGACCAGTCAATACCCACGTGATTGAATTGGATGGTTCCCATTTTTCCGATTCAGACAAAACCTTATCCTTTCTTTTGTTCCTTGTTGGGATGTTTTTTTTAGGTGAAGCAATTTGTTGGTTTCATATCTTCTAGAAGAGTTCTTCACGAGCATAGCTATAGACATCTTCAACCGACTTGAATACCTTCCCTCTTTACTTACGGCTAATTTAAGCGCTCCTCACTTGTTCTTGCAACTATCAAATTTTCCGGTTCGCTATTCATCCTTGTTGACGTATCCATAATTCAACTCGTCTATCAATTTCCCTTTTTTTTTTTTACTGAATCCTTAATTTAATTGGTAATGTATAATAGATGATAATTAAAATAATTATATATTTAAAAAAAAAAAAATTTAATAGTTTTTTTTTATTGTTTTTATTCATAGAAGGTAAAAAAATCGGATGGTAAAAAAGTAAATGAGGCGAGAAAAAGGTAAAAGGAGTGAGTGAAGTGACACGTGGAATGCGAAATCTAGGGAAAAGCAACGGTCACCATTCTCGCGGCTTTCAAAATTCCAATATATTAATTAAAAAAAAAAAAACAATTCAGAATCAGCACGCAAAATCATCCCACGTCACAATTATCTCTTTAATTATATTTAAATTAAAGTCAATTACAAGTAGCTATAAAGCTTACACCAATTTCACGTCGAACCAAGCTCGAACCTTCCTCACACTTTGTGTTCATATCCCATTTTGCTTCCCCAAAATCCCTCCTTTTTTTTAATTAAATAATTCCTTAAATTTTTTTTTTATACAATTATTAAATTTGATTCTGATTTATAAGACCAACATGGCCTAAAGTTGTTGGTGATATAAATAATGATTATGGTATCAATTTTCTAGTACAGACTGGTGACCCACCGAGAAAAGTCGACATTCTTTGAGCAACATTCCTTTAATAATTATATATTTGAATTGAGGCTATCCACAAGTATAAGGATAGCTCACCTTTTTGTTGGTTTACTTCACAATAACATAAAAGAAGGGAAAAGCAAAAAAGAATAACATTAATAATGTGATCAAAATTGGTCACATTATGATCTTCTCCTCTTAATTCTTGTGTGCTAAAACAGGGGAGGGAGGGAAAACAATATTAACAGCTAATTAAGAGATCCCCTGACGAGATTATGGTGGATTAGAGAGAAATTAAGAATGATAATTTGGGTTTAGCAAGAACAAGGGCTGCCACTTTGAGAACACCCCAGAAGCTCTTCCAAATACTCTGTTCCTAAATCCTCCAAAACCACCATGTTTTGGATCCTTACATCTCTCTCTTTCTTCATTTTGCTTATGCCATTCCTTCTCACTGAGTGTTTTCTTTTCAACGCAATCACCGGCGACCCGCCGTCCTCGGCGAGCCCATAACCATCGCCGCCGCAGTTCATTTCCTTAAGAGATTCCCTAACTCTGTCGACGGGGAAATTGAGAATCGCCGTGGCTCCTCTCATCGCAAAGGCGGCTTGATCGTAGGCCAAAGCGGCGGCTTCCGCACTGTCGAATGTTCCCAACCATACCCTTATGCCACGTCTGGTGGAATCTCTAATTTCGGCGGCGAATTTCCCCCATGGACGCCGGCGAACTCCCCTGTAAGATCTCTCCTTCTTTGGGCTCTCTTCGCCGACGGAATCCACCTCCTCCTCCTTAACACGCACCGCCCCAATTCCCTTCTCGGACGAATCCTGCCTCCCCTCCGAGATCAGCTCATAGAGAAGCATTTCCTCGGAATCATTCTCATTAAAGGGAAGAAAATCATGATCCAAATTGATAAACGAAGATTCCGGCGAATCAAACGAGGATTCCGATGAGAAATCGGACGCCGGCGAGAAAAATCCAGAGTAATCCATCTAATTAAGAAAGATCAAAGAAGAAGAAGAAGCTGCTCTGTTTTGGCAGTCGTTTTAGCAAGGAAAATTTGATTCTACAATTGCCGATATATATACCGAATATTCAAGTAAAGAAAATGGATAAGGGCAAAAAGGGAAGAGAGGAGTAGAGTCGAGGGTAAAATGGTAAAATCGCATACAAAGTGTTTCACATTTAATCGGTTTAGAATGTTTTCGTCGTTGAGAAAGGAGCAGATTAATTGAACACATGCGTGAATTAAGGACATAGCCGCCGTATCAGATAGAGGGAAGTGTTGCTCACATCGGCATTGTATTTCCATGGGTTTTGTCGGATAGTAATGGGACCAGTTCATGTCTTTCGTACACGTGTCCATCACTGGACCGATGCGACACTTTTTTGTCTTTGTATTACGTCGACGTCTCCAATTAATTACCACTCTGCCATAATATTTCTCTCTCTGTTTGAAAACGGTTTCGGTTTTTATTCCCTTTTTTTTTTAGTGCGTATAATATAATAATACTTTATAAATATTTATTTCAAATTAATTATTTTTTAGTATTTAATTAATTTCATTATTTGAACGCTACTTCCAAGAAATTGCAAGACGAATGAAGAATTATCGGAATTTAAAAATTATTTCTTCTACAAAATAATTACTAAAATCACTATCCAATAACCCAAATAAAACAAAAAGGGGCGATTTGTTTTATTTTTTATTTTTATTTTTTATATTAATGGGAGTGGAAAAAAATAATGATTTTGAAAGCCCCAGTCCAGATACAGATCCCTTTGATTTAGTAATAATTTTTTAAGTGAAAAAAAATTAAAATTAATGTAAAAAATAAATAAATAAAAACGACAATTCGGCCGCTGAATTGAATTTCAAGAGATCTCTCCGAAAAGAATGGATAGTGGAACGGGATTGTGTTCGGTTAGAAAACGACAATTCGGATTTCCTCTTCTCAACTTTAGGATGGGACGACATGTAGTCTAGCCACGAACCTTCCTCAAAACCCTTTTTTTTTTTTAAATAATTTTATTATTCCTGTCCTTGTCAGCGTGCAAAGGACACGTCGGTTTTCACGAAAGTAAATACGATAATCTGTTTTATTAAATTAATTTGTAAATGACGATTTTACCCCTAGCCACCCCGAATTCGAAGTAGGAGTGAAAACAGACGGCTAAAAATGACCGGATTATTCCCATTCCGGTGTGCAAGGGTAGAAGGGACAGAGATTGATGGCTGGTTTTTTTGTCTTTTCAGCTTGTCAAAGTCAAGCAGTCTTAGTTTGACAAGTCCGACATTGAATGTTGGGACAATAATAGCCACTAACTGCTAACTCCTATAAACGACGTGTAGTTTTTGATTCCCTCAACTAAACAATATTTTATTCATATAAAGATCTAAAAAGAATGGGGGTAAAAAGGTAATTTAATAATATTAATAACAATAAAATCTACACTTTTGGGTGGGAATATAATTTTAGGATACCATGAATTAAAAATAATTATTTATTTATTTTGATTATAAAAATCTTAGGTGGCATATTTTATTATCTTCCATTAAAGAATTAAAAGTGAATCTGTTTCCCTTAATTTGAGACAAAATGAGAGAGAGAGGAAAATGTTTTAAATTTATTTGACTTTCAACTATTAATTTTATACTTAAATTTATTATATTTAAAATAATAAAAAATAAAACAATTTTTATTTATTATTATTATTATATTTTATGGAGATAGTTAATTCAATTCAACTTAAAAGACTTTAATTTTATCTATTCAAATTATTTTTTTAGAAATTTCAAAGCGTCGTGCTCTACTACGAAGCTTCGGGTGAAGATTACGTGGAAAATAATAAATAAATATTGAAATTAAACATAAAAAAGGAAACTGCGACGATATTTATGCTCCCTCCCACAATGGAGCATTAAATTCCAAATTTATCCCTATTAAAATTTAGTTTTTTTTTTAAATTATTATTTCAATATTAAAATTAATACTTATACTCTAATAATTAGGACAGTAGTTACAAATGTTTCCTATGGTAAACAAAACAGGAAACCAAGAATTCAATTAGTTGAGTTCCATTCCCTAGCTTAAAAAAAACATCGACTTAATTTTTTTTTTTTTACTTGAGACCGACGAGCATAATTAATGTTTTGTTTTGGGGGAGAATAGTCAATATCTCGATCTTTCAAAGATCAATGTCTCCTTTTCGTAAGAATCCTCTACGTTGAACTACGTGTTCGTTTTGCCAAAAGAAGAATAATGGACAAATAACTTTTTTAAAAAATGAAGAGATTTCAAAAAATAAAAAATACATCCATCTATAAAATCTTTTTATAAAAGCTAGCAACCAAGACCTATAATTTATATGATTTAATTATTTATTAAAGAGAAAAATTTAATTATAGAATAATTTTAGACATTTAAATATAAGATCGCATAACATTTTAACAAAAAAATAATAATAATAATTTTTTTTAGGCAATTTAGTGTAGGAAAAGGAAAAAAAAATTGTTTTTTTTTTTTTTTTTGTATGTAAAAAGAAAGAAAAAAGGTCTAAAAAGATGGGCCATGAGATTGAGTGAGACTGGGGGGAGATACATTGCATGTGGTTGATTATCTTTTAGCATCATTTTCTCACATTTTAATTTTATTTAATTTATGACCCCCAACCAACGGGTCCAACGTGGATTTATTAATTATGGGATTTTAATTTTACTTCAAGGTGTGGAGTTATTGTTCTTGTGGGCCCTCCAATTATTAGGTAAACAATCTGATTTGTTGGATTATATTTAAATTGATTTCGACATAGATTTTTAGAATATTGAAAATTGCATTTATTTATTTTTTTGAAATAATTTCCCGAAATTGAATTACCACAATTTTGTAAAATAAGTAATTTCATGAATGGATAAAATTATTTTAATTCTGGATGATAATAATTTGTTGGGTTTTTTTAAATTAAAAATATTGTAGATGATAAAGAAGAATATTTTTGTAATTATTATTTTAGTTTTAAACACTGTGAAAATGACGTGGAAAAAAAAAAGTGACAAGGACAAGCAATATGCATGCAAATACAATACTTACCGAAAGGAAAACCCAATGACAAGGCGGCGCGGAGCAATTTACTACTTTACCCTGGGCGATTGTGCTGTAGGATCAGCCACGTCATTTTCCATATTAACAAGAAAATTATTAGTTTTTTTAATCTAAAAAAATATTTTTAAATATGACCAAATTATTTAATCATTAAATTTAATTTTTGTTGTTGAATTTATATTTTTTATTTCCTGCCTACCAAATCCTCATTCGAAATTCTTTAATATTCAAATTTAATAAAAAAAATTGAAAAGTTTAGTATTTCATTAGACATAAATCTTAATATCATATCTAAAAAAATCAATTAATATTTTTTAAATTTAAATATATGAATGATTATTAGAAACACGACAAAAATTTTGGAGATCTTTTAGATTATTTAGAATCCGAATTATTTAATATAAATTTGAAAATATTATTAAATATTTTTTGGAGTATAAGGACAAAATAGGTCAACAGAAAATATTTACGAAATTGGAATTGGGCTGAAACGGTTGGGCGACAAGTTGACCTCGCGTGAGATCACTGATATCAATCCCAATGGGCCCTCTCAATGAAACGGAAAGCCCAATGGGCCCTCTCAATGAAAATGGAAAGCTCAATGGGCCCTCTCAATGAAAATGGGAAGCCCAATGGGCCTTAGCCTTAGGATTTTGAGCCCATTACACCAAATGGGCTTAATGACAACCCATTCGATTTTTTTTTTTTTTTTTTTTAATTTTATCAAATTAGATCGTGGGTTTTAGTAGGATTTATTCTCATGGACAGGGTCAACAATCCTTCACGTCGAGTCACGTATGAGAGTGCAGTTTAGTTGATGCAAGCTTCCTCATTACGATTGGACTCGTCGATGACTTTCTCAGGGCTCCGTAAGAGAATAAAGAAGGTCCGAGACAAATTATCGTGTCATCGTCGTGGAACGTTAGAGTGTAATAATCAGATGATGAGTTTGAAAGCTCAGATGATTAGGACTTATAGCAACAGTTGAAGAAGATTCTAGTGGGTGACAAGAAAAGGTGGAAGCTTATTATAATATAAGGTGCAGATGCATGAATGGTGCAGTCATCACTGACTGACTTGGTCACCAAAATGGGTGTTTCAAGTGAGCTAAAAAGCACTTGTTTTTGGCGTTGACCACCACTTTTAGACTGACTCAGTCTTCGTTTTGACCAATCATTTGTAATCCTTTCCATGACTGCTAATACAAATGCTGCATCTTGTAAACATGGGAGGAGGAGCTCTCAAAAGCTAAATGGGACCAAACTCTTCAACTCAATCCACTTCTCGATATTCCCGTTCTATTGTTAAAATTTGTGATACCCGAGTAAATGAGAGATGCATGAATGAACTAAGAAAGATTTAAAATAATTGAAAGTCACTATCTATATCAATAAGGTGCAGTTTCTTTTTTGGTAGCTCAATCGTAGAACTCCATAGTTAAGAGTGGTTTGCTTACATGAATTCTATGTTGGGCAATCTGTTGGAAATTTTTCTAGGATACATGTGAGTGAGGAAAAAACATGTTGGAATGACTCATGTGGTCTGTGGGGATAGTTTTTATTATTAAGAAGCAAGAAGTACATAACGGTCGATCTACAGTAAACATCACACTCTATAACCTAACATCACACTCTATAACCTAACAATTTTTTGAAGACGAGTTTTGATCTTTGAATCTCAAACTACCATTGATATTTGAAGTTGAGACGCGATTAAAATTGTTGACTTTTTCTAATGTAATGGTAAGGATGAGGTAAGACAAATTAAGAACATGTCCAAGATAATGGGTGGCGAATCCTAAGTAAATGCGTCAAGAAGGGTAATGGTGGCCCAGATGATGGGCATTAACTTCAAGAGTGGCGGCGCATTTTTGTGCTTGCTTTTATTTCATTAACTAACCAACCCTAAACCTACAAATTATATTATATGCTTTCAAAACCATAGTCTTTAAAATTAAGATTTGTATTTATAGATAAATTAAATTAGCCAAATAATCTGATTTATCTGGGTGGTTATTTCCATAATCAATAAGGACAATTAGATCAAATTAAATTTAGTATTCGAAAGGACACTCGATCAGTTTAACAATTTAAAGGGGGAAATCCTCGTTTAAACAAATCTTCCACACACACACATACACATATATAATGAGTCGGGAGAAGATAGGAAATGAGAATATATAATCGAGATTGAAATAGAAGGAAGATACGGGAATGAGAAAGACGAAAATAAATAGAAAATTTAGCGAAAATTGAGATTGAAATAAGAAGTGGAGACGAAAATGAAGAAGGTTTCCCTGTCATGTCTTGTGAGATCCCACGTCAATTGGAGAGAGGAACGACTGCTAGCGAGGATGCTGAGTCTTAAAAAGGGTGGATTGTGAGATCCCACATCGGTTGGAGAGGAGAACAAAGTATTATTTATAAGGGTGTGGAAGCCACTTTCTAACAAACACGTTTTAAAATCGTGAGGCTGACGGTGATACGTAATGGGCCAAAGCAGACAATATTTGTTAGCGGTGAGTTTGGGCTGTTACAAATGGTATTACAGCCCGACATCGTGTTGTGTGCCAACGAGGATACTGAGCCCCGAATGGGGATGGATTATGAGATCCTACATTGATTGGAGAGGGGAACGAGTGCCAGTAAGAACACTAGATCCAGAAGGGGAGTGGATTGTGAAATCCCATATCGGTTGGAGAGGAGAATAAAACATTCTTTATAAGGGTGTGGAAACCACTTTCTAGCAGACATGTTTTAATATCGTGAGATTGATGACGTTACATAACGGGTCAAAGCGGACAATATCTGTTTGCGATGAGTTTGGGCTATTACAAATGGTATTAGAGCCTGACACCATGTTGTATGCTAGCAAGGACACTGAGCACCGAATGGGGATGGATTATAAGATCGCACATTGATTGAAGAGGAGAACAAGTGTCCGAGAGGATACTGAGTCCAAAAGAGGAACAAGTGTCAGGGAGGATACTGAGCCCAAAAGGAGGGTAAATTGTGAGATCTTATATCAGTTGGAGAGGAGAACGAAACATTTTTTCATAAGGGTATAGAAACCTCACCCTATGAGACTCATTTTAAAAAACCTTGCAGGAAACCTCGAAAGTGAAAACTCAAAAAAAACAGTATCTATTAGCAATGAACTTAAGCTGTTACATGTCTCGTGTCTTCTCTTCCCAACATTGTTGAAGTAATTTTAAAAAAAGGATAAACATAAGTGGAAAGAGATGGTAATTTGTTGATAACGACCTTCACCTTCCATTATCTTTCCGGCCACCGACTTAGCTTCTCTTTTCACTTTCTTCTCCATACTCAAGAAGATCCTCCAGCACTTTATCGTCCAAATACTCAAATTCAATCACTTCATCTTGCTGCATTGACCTTGAAGAAGATGAAGAACAAAATCCGCCTCCGCCTCCACCGCCGGAGCTCCTCGGCGGGTATTCACTCGGAAAGTTCAAAATCGCCAAATGACCCCTCATGTTGTAAGCCGCCCGATCGTAAGCTCGTGCGGCTTCCTCCGCGGTGTTGAACGTCCCCAACCAAATACGCACTCCTTGCCTTCTAGAGTCACGTATCTCCGCCGCGAATTTACCCCACGGCCGTCGTCGTACTCCCCGGTAACGGATGATCTCTTTCCCGCCTCCAGCTGCGGCGGAATCCTCCGTGTAATCCTTTCCACGGCCACCGCTGTTGTCCATGGGGGTTTAATGTTTTAAATGTTGTTATTATTGTTGTTATTTTTGCATGGGATGAGTATGAAACGTTGGATGGGTTGGTATTTATAGTGGCATTCTATGTTGGGGTTGGTCAAAAAAGTGTGGTCAAAATGGCGGCTAAAAACCCACGTGGATTCTTATTCTTATTCGGACTCCTTTTACGTTAATTGTTTTGATTTGTGTGTGTCAATGTCACGAGGAAATTGAATTCATGTAACCAAACTATATACTTTTTGGAATATCAGCACTACCTCATTCCATATTTTCAAATTAACAATCATCCACTCATTTTTCATTCAAATATGAAAATAATCAAAACCCATGTTTTGAATTTTTGACTAAACGTTCATATATAAAAGTGGACCGGTGTAGGAATGGGACTGGTTGGGTGAAACAGCTCAAGCCCATCGCTAGCAGATATTGTCATTTTTTGATTTTTTCTTTTGAGTTTCTCCTCAATGTTTTAAAATGCGTCTAGTATGGAGATGTATCTACACCATTATAAAAAATGTTTCGTTTCTTTCTCAAACCAATGTGGGATCTCCCAATCCACCCCTCCTGGACCCAACATCCTCGTTGGCACTCGTTTTGCTCTCCAATCAATGTGGGATCTCACAATTCACCTCTTTGAGGCTTAACATCCTCACTAGTGTTGGATGATGAAAGTCCCACATCGACTAATTTAGGGAATGATCATGGGTTTATAAACAAAAAATACTCTCTCCATTGGTATGAAATCTAGAGCTCATGCTCAAAGTGGATAATATCATACCATTGTAAAGAGTCGTGTTCGTCTAACAACTAGCACGCTGTCCAATGTTTGGTTCATATACCATTTATAACAGCCAAAACCTACCACCAATAGATATTGTCCGCTTTGAGCTGTTATGTATCACTGTCATCCTTGTGGTTTTAAAAAATAGGGAGAGATTTCCACACCCTCACAATTCACTCCCTTATGGGTCTAATGTCTGCTATGACCCCACCTCCACACCCTCACAATTCACTCCCTTATGGGTCTAATGTCTGCTATGACCCCACCAACTTAGGATCTCACCTTAAGGTAATTAAGCAAGCAGAGAATAATCTCTCCCCACTTTCAGTTCCAAGATGGCTCAAACCTACATGTTTGGCTCAAAGTAGTTGGGTTGATGTCGAAAGTTTCAAACGACAGAACAGATTTGTTTTGTTCTAGGAAAGAGGAAAGTGGACGACGTGTCGTTTTGACGAAGTCAAGGCCCATGGAGGTTTATAGAAGCAATCGTGGGCCGTTAGTTGGCAAGATTGACTGCCTTAATCTGGTAATTAACTGACATGTCTGAATTTCGTTTTATCGAGTCAAAAGCGTTGACTGGTTTTGCCAAGTTGGAAGCTCCACCAGTTGAGATTTGAGAACGTGGCAGCACGTGAGTCCCCCTGCCAACCTCCATGTTCCTGGGTTCAGTGCCACGTGGGTGTGGTGCAAAATTTATCTTTAAAATTTTGGTATTATCCAATAACCTGATCCATGAAAAAAGGGGGAAAAAACTGTATATTTGTTAGTACCCATGAAATAGGGGAAAAAGTTCCCATTCAAATTACTCTAAACAAATAAATAAATAAATAAAATTTCATGTATTTTTACCGACTCCCCACGTGGCATTTTACCAAATTATTTTATTTCCCGTAAAATTCGCTTTTATTTCTGCCACGTTTCAAACTTTATAATTTAATTATCTCAAATCATAATGAAATTATTTTATCCACAAATAAATAAAATCATTTTTTCCCCCACAAAAGTAAATCAAATAATAATTTGAAAGCGTGTGTTTAATTAAGAGACTTCATGATGTAATTAGCAAAATTCAGGTGGGAATTGAGCCAATTTCGGCTATTGATTGATTATTTATTCTTTAATAAATTATTGATATATAATATATCAATTATTTATAATTTACCAATATTATTAAATATTTATTTAACCCTCCAGAGCTTATAACCTCACGGATTTAAAATGGTCTATATTCTCCTCTACAATCAATGTGAGATTAGATTTCCTGCCCTTATATTCTCCTCACTAACACACAGTAAAAGGTTTCCATGCCCTTATATTCTCCTCACTAACACACCACTTGGTGTTTGGTTGTGATAATACCATACCATTTATAACCGCTCAAGCCCACCGTTAACAACGTTACGTATCGCCGCCAGTCTAACAGGGAGAAGAAGTTTTCACACCCTTATAAAGAATGCTTAGTTTATCTCTACAACCGATGTGGGATTTCACAATCTACCCCCTTAGACATCCAACGTCTTTACTAGTTCGCTCGGTGGTTGGCTCCAATATCATTTGTAACAGTCCAAGCTCACCGCTAACAAATATTGTCTGCTTTAGCCCCGTTACATATCGTTATCAGTCTCACGTTTTAAAACACATATAGAGAGAAATTTCCACACCCTTATAAGGAACATTTCGTTCCTCCCCATGTTATATCCCCCTATACCTAATAGTTATATGCAATAACTCGTTGGTAGGAAGTGAGTGCTGCACAATCGCAAGTCTACTATCAAAGTGTGATTATGACAAGCGGTGAAAAAACTCCGAATTGAAGATAATAGTAAGTAACATGACGATTGGAGCGTTACATAAAGTCGGGAAGAAGAAGAATATTGTAATATTATATAGTTTGAAAGCGAGGGATTGGATTAATAAATAAAGAGGGGAAAAAACAGAGGAAAAACTCACCAACTACAATGTACTGTCACACTGACTCTCCAGTGGTTTTTTCCCCCCTTTTTGTAAACCCCAACTTCCAGCTCATTTCCACTCAAAATCCCAACCTCATTTATTCCCAATTAGGTTTTCCCCTTCCCTTCCCATTCAAGATCTATCCATGGAGTCCTTCCCCCAACTCAAATCTTCCCATTACCTTCCTCCATTTCCGCCGCCAATTCCTTCCCATTCCGACTCCACAAGCTTCCCCATTATCGCCATTGCCATCATCGGAATTCTCGCCACCGCCTTCTTGCTCCTCAGCTACTACGTTTTCGTCATCAATTGCTGCCTCAACTGGCACCGCATCGATCTCCTCCGCCGTCTCTCCCTCTCCTCGAGGCGCCGCCGCCCACCGCCCACCACTCATTCTCCACCCATTCACACCAGGGGTCTCGACGAATCGGTCATTAGATCAATCCCTTTAGTTCAATACAAGAATTCAATAGCCAGAGGAAAAACCTCGTCGGAATGCTCTGTTTGTTTGAGTGAATTTGGAGAGGATGAAACGGTGAGAATCATTCCCATTTGTTCACATCTTTTCCACATTGATTGCATCGACATTTGGCTGCAAAACAATCCCAATTGCCCATTATGTCGAACCACCATTTCAAGCTCTACTCTGTTTCATCGATTTCCTCTACCAACCTCCTCGCCGGCGGATCCAATCGGCGGTGGAAATGAAAGAGACTTCGTAGTAATTGAATTGGGTGGGATTAGAAACGACCCATCTGGTCAATTGTCACAAGAACGGCCAAATTCAGGGGAATGTCCGGCGGCAGCCGGAAAATTGGAACAGGGGAAGAAACGGCGGAAGCTGCAGAAAGTGACGAGTTTAGGAGATGAGTGGATTGACACTAGAGAGAAAGACGAGAGGTTTTGTGTTCAGCCGATTAGACGGTCGGTTTCGATGGACTCGTCGGCGGAACGACAGATGTATTTGGCAGTGCAGGCGGCGCTGCGTGGGAGTACGGCGAGCCCCGGCGGCGATGGGTGTAATGGAAGAGGGAGGAGGTCTCTGTTTTCGTTTGGGAATGGGATGAGTTGCAGAAATGGCGTTGAAGTTCAGGCGGTGCGGTTGGAAGAGAGTTAGGAATTAGAAAAGGGATATTATAGAAACTGTTAGGATTACGAGAGAGATTCAATCAAAAGATTGAAAGCCTTTTTTTTATGTATTTATTAATTAATTTTTTTTCTTTAAACAATCATCATTATCAAAATTATTGCTCAAAAGCCTCAAGATCTAATTATTATTATTTTTTTTTTGGATTTTATTTTATTTTCAAATTACTAATTAAATATAAAATATTCTAATAATATATATTTTTTGTTATTTAGATTTATATAAAAAAAAATTAAAATTAAAATTAAAATTTATTGTTTAAAGTTAAGTTTTTAAATCTGGGTTAAATTAGCGTTAATTAAGATTCCTTCTACTAAACAGGTTACTATGCGGTACACGTGTTCGTTTGTTACTGGATGTTTCAATCCGCTCTCATCTTTTTGTTTTTGTTTTTGTTTTTTAATTGTTTGTTCCGAAATTTTCATGGACTTTTCGATCCCTTCCTTTTTCATTTACCAAAATCTTCGTCGCGGAATGAGATTCCAAATTGGAGGGGAGTTGCAGTCGACGAAGATTTGATTTCAAATCAGATGGATCCATTGGAGGACCAGAGCAGTTCGGATTTTCTTGATTACTCGTTGTTCGCCGACGCCGACAACATTGTTAGCCCTTCGCTCGGTCCTCTATGGCTGCCTAATGATTTCAGGTAGTAATAATAATACATTAGTTGCTGCATTGTTTTTTTTCTTTCTCTCTTTTTGAATCACCTGTGGATTTTGTTGTCTCTGTTTGATTGAATGGAGCATGTTAACGAATTTGGGGATTTTGTTCCGTTTGCAGGGATGGCGGTGCGGATACGGGTGTTTCAGCCGGGCGTGTTGAATCTGAAGAAACCGATTGTTTGCGGAAGAGGTAGGTATTTTGCATGTAGCGTTATTGGCTTCTTTCCTCTTTAAAAATGTGGATGTTCACGAACTGATATTGGTGATATGTGTTTCTTCAGTGAATCATGTGACGATGTTATATTTTAAGCTCTGGTTTCGGTGAAATATTGCAAGTGCTTTGTCAATATCTTGTTCATGATTTGGACCATATTATTGCTTACAGAGTTAGAATATCAATTGTATCTAAATTGTGCTTTCCAGTTGTGGATACAGCATCTTGGGAAATAAGCATAATCTATGGTTCTCTTGATTTT